GGCCTGGAGAAGTTTGGGGGCCTGCGCGATGGCTACTACATCCAAGGTGAGGGCCTGCGGAAATGGGCCTGGCCCTGGGACATGTGCTTGGGGTGAGCCCAGGATCCAACCGTTGCCTGGTGACTAAGAAGGGAGAAAGATGAGAGACAGAGACACATCGCTTCCAGGGAGGCGACCTCGTTTGAGCGAATAGGAGATGATTTTTATCCAAGTCGTCCGTGGTGTCATTCGATCACATGCTGTGTCATGCTAGGCATGGTTTAGGGCAGACTGTGTGTCTTTACAACTTATTAGTAGGAGGCAGGGAAGCTGTAGGATCACTTTTTGATTTTCAAAACTTGTATTCGGGTATGTGTGCCGTGGTTATCCGTGAATATCCCCATCATTTAAAATAAAGATAGTGAGCGCTTGGGCCACTTGCTGAAACCCAGCCACAGGAGCCAGGCCCTCTCTCGTTGAGAGACATGCTATATGTCATGTAAATTGTACCAACTTTTACTTTCTTTTCTCCTTGAAAGTGATTCAAACATTTTAAGGAAAGGTGCCTGCTGGGTGGTTAAGGACAAATGAATGAAAAAGTATTCTTGTAGTCTTATTTAACCAAATGAGAAAATCATTGGAAATTCTTTGGTTTCCTGTTGTCTTTTAGAATATAAAGACACAAAGGGTTTATCCCTGAGTTGAAACTTTTTTTTTTAATTGAAACTTCTTAACCAGAAAATTGGACTGTACTTTTGCTGCCTCTTTAACTGTATCCTCACTATCCCTGTAGGTCAGGCTATGGAACCCTCACTTCAGATTTTCTTAAAGGCATAACACTCACTGGCCATTTAAAGACTATGTGTGGGTCGTACTCACTATAAAGGAAATGGGGCCTTTAGAATGCTGATGTACTATTTGACAAACTTGGAGGGTGGGGTGGTGGTGGTGATTAGTTGTCCAGAGGGAGAAGGTAGTTGGTAGAATAAGTACGTCTTGACATTTAAATTTTCATGGGAAGAGGAATTGGAATCAGTGCTGTGGATATTACATCTAACTTTTGAGTGTTGTGGGGGGAAGACCTTCAGATAGAGTGCGTTGATCATAAGAGTCTGTCCAAAGATGATAAATTCTTCAATAGACTGAGAAACATTTCAATTCCTTGAATGTTTTTCAGCCCAATGTGCCATTATAATGTTTGATGTAACATCAAGAGTCACCTACAAGAATGTACCTAACTGGCATAGAGATCTGGTACGGGTGTGTGAAAACATCCCCATTGTATTGTGTGGCAATAAAGTGGATATTAAGGACAGAAAAGTGAAGGCAAAATCTATTGTCTTCCACCGAAAGAAGAATCTTCAGGTATGTTCATAATTTATCGGGTCATTCTTAGAGAATATTGATGTAAGGTACACTTAGGTCATGTAGGACCAATGTATGATACAAAAGTCATTTAGTTTAAAGTGTCTTGGAATGGTAATCACTAATAGAACTCTTTAAACATAAATTTCTTTTTGTTTTAAACAGTACTATGACATTTCTGCCAAAAGTAACTACAACTTTGAAAAGCCTTTCCTCTGGCTTGCCAGAAAGCTCATTGGAGACCCTAACTTGGAGTTTGTTGCCATGCCTGCTCTTGCCCCACCTGAGGTGGTCATGGACCCAGCTTTGGCAGCACAGTACGAGCATGATTTAGAGGTAATTGTCCTTTTGAATTTTTCTCATATGTATGGGTGTCTTAATTTATGTGTCTGCGTTTGCCTGGTGCCTGCAGAGGTCAGAAGCCTGGCGTTGGATCTTCCCAGCGCCGTAGATGCTTGGACTCAAACCATGGTCATCAAGAGCTGGCAGTGCTCTTTATCTGTTCTTACAGTTAGTGCCTGTTTGACTTGGTCATGGCAATTTTGATGTTTAGTGTTTCCTTTTGTTTCTTGCTCCAGGTTGCTCAAACGACTGCCCTCCCGGATGAGGATGATGACCTGTGAGACAGTGAAGCTGGAGCCCTGCGTCAGAAGTCTAGTTTTATAGGCAACTGTCCTGTGATGTCAGCGGTGCAGCGTGTGTGCCACCTTATTTAGCTAAGCAGATCGTGTACTTCATTGGATGCTGAAGGAGATGAATGGGCTTCGGAGTGAATGTGGCAGTTAAAACATACCTTCATTTTTTTTTTTTTTTTTTTGGCTTTGAATTTTATCTTGTTTGAAACAATGTTTTTTCCTTATTCATTTTTTTTTTTTTTGGACTTGCATATTTAGCTGTTTGGAACACAGTTGTTTCCTTCCTGAATTTCAAAAATAAGACTGCTACAGTCACCTCACACTATTCAGTCAGTGGTGAAATCTTGTTTGTTACTGTCATTCCCATTCTTTTTGTTTAGAATCAGAATAAAGTTGTATTTCAAATAATCTAAATAAGTGAATCATCCCTTGTTTATAAGCATTTTAAAACCAACATAAGGAAGCTTGTGCCATATTATAGTTAACAATGCCTTTGCTTATTACCTGAGGTCAATTCAGTTATGTTCTCCTTGTGCCTACCTTCACAAACCTAACCTAACTCTTTATGTTATAGGTGTAAGCACTGATTCAGCTAGGATATCTGCCCTACCTGCATTTTGCTAGGTAGTTTCACCTAAGAAAAGAGTTTGTAAGTTGTAAGCATGTATGCATCAGATATTTCATCTAGGAGTATAGTTGATAGATTTCAGAAGTTAGAACTGCAATTGGTGGAAACTTGAGGGTTTTCTGAGATGTACATTTCTTGGTTTCCATGTCTAATGTTCTCTGCTTTTGAGTGGTAGTCTCAAAGGCAGAGACAGAATCTCTTAGTAAAAGTGTTCATGGTTGGTAGGCTGTGGCATAGCATCTGGTGATTATTTTCCCAGAGATCGTTTATAGACAGCACAGGAAAGGAAATGCTAGAATAGGAAGGAGTACACAACTGGAGAGTAGGGTGGGTGTCTGATGCAGGACTGTCAGTTGAGCCTTTTTATTAAGTGTGTGATCCTGTCAGCTATGTTGTGATAAAGATGTATTTAAGCCATTCTGTGGGTTCTGCTAGTTGAGCCTACCAAAGTTCTTAAAGGGTGGAACACTTTAGATGGTTACTTTGTTTCTCTCCAAAGGTTGAGTTACTTAAAACAGGGAGAGTGAAAGGAAGGTGTACTGTGAACTTTTACTGATTTCAATATGCAATTAGATGTATATGCTATACTACAACCAGGTGAAGATTCTCTCCCCCAACTGGGATGAAACTTCATTTAGATCTATTGAATTAATAAAATGTGTGTAAAGCTAATGTAGAATGCAAATACCTTATGACTCTTGATTTTTGTAACAGTTAAATTTAGGAACTACTTAATGTGTGTTTAACTAGAGTATGGAGGATTTGCATTATTTATTGGAAGAACTTCAAAATATATATTGCTTCTGCTTTGCATAAGTTTTCTGAGTCATCTCTGGTATTTGCTGTAGGAGTAAGTGAATGGCTTCATTTTATTTTTTAGGTTTGATCTGCCAAATAGCAGAGATCACCTTATTTTAGGGGTATGATTTTATCCAGTTGCTTTTTTGTTTTATTTTTGGCTTTTCCAGATAGAGTTTCTCTGTGTGGCCCTGGCTGTCCTGAACTCCGTAGGCCAGGCTGGCCTCAACTGCCTACCTCTCCCTTCCAAGTGCTGGCTTTAAAACATGTGCCACCACTGTCTATTCAGTCTTTCCATGTGGGGAAAGTTCTCCCCTATGATAAAACATTCCTGACTAAATCAGTTACTGTATAGCAGAGCTGGCTGAAGCAAGGTCACTGAGGAGAAGGTGGAAAGTCAGGTATTTGGGGGCTTTGGGAGGTTTTTTTTGTTTGTTTGGGGCTTTTGACAGGGTTTCTCTGATAGCCTTGCTGTTTTTTAAACTCACTTTGTAGACCAGGCTGGTCTCGAACTCAGATCTACCTGCCTTTGCCTCCTGAGTACTGGGATTAAAGGTGTGCTCTGTCATACCCAGGTTTGGGAGGTTTTCCTAAATCTACATGGAAAAAAAAAAACTGCAACCTGTACCTGCCCAGAACTGCTTGCTTTTTTTCTGGTAGATGGAAGGTAAGAACTGGATAGAAGCCTGCTTTGGGCTTGTGGCTGTGATGCAGTGTGATAACTGTCAGCCATCAGGAGTGCAGTTGCTCTACCCAGCTAAAAGTGTACTGTGTCAAACCCTCTGCTGGAAGCAATACTGTCAGTCTTGAATTGTCTCGGAACCTTTTACTCATGAAGCTTGAGTTGGAGCTGGGTGATGAGAGCTCCTTGCCTTCTAGATGTGGCTGTCATCATTCACAGCTAGTAGGCCCACATTGCAGAGCTCAGGATACCTGAGGTACCTGTAGCTGCTATGTACCCTCTTCTCTTCATCCTGAGGTCTGCCTGTTAAGCATCTCAGCCTGTTTGTGCTAATGTCCCTGACATAGACTTGTCACTGGATCTTCCCTCTCAGCCCTAGTCTATGGTGAATTTATAGTTGTGAGTCCAGTGTGCCATGAAAGCAAAGGTCTTGGATCACTGATATCCCATTGTTTATTAGTGCTCTTTGAGGGCCCAGAGAAAAGAGAACTACAGAACCAGAGACAGGATAGAGAACAGAATTTTTGTTTTGAGACATGTTCTCAATGTAACAGCCCTGGTTGTCCTGGAATTTGCTTTGTAGACCAGGCTGGCCTTGAACTCAGATCTGCCTGCCTCTGTCTCCCAAGTGCTGGGATTAAAGGCAAGCGCCACCACCCTGAGAACATAATTTTGATACACCATTGGTACACTATGGGTTCATAATCTGGTTTGGTTCATTTGGCCCAGCTTTAGGCAGCAGGGAGATGAGTGGCCAGTCAGGGTACTGGCCACATAAACTTCAAAGTGGGAATGGTGCTGTCTAGGTAGATAGGGACCTCAAGCTTTAGGAACTGGGCCAGGAACCTTGGGTAAGGCATGGACAGTTTGTCCTCAGCACTAAGCAGTGCTTGGTGTCCTGAGGAGCAGTGGCTTTGCTCCAGCAGCCTGAGTGTCACCTGTGGTGTGTTTGGGTTAGAAGGCAGGGTGCTCTGAAGACATCCCTGGAATCTAGTCCCACGCAAAGTGTCACTGGTCTGGGAAGAGGATTGGAGCAGGAGTTCTGGGGCAGATAGGCCAAATGCTAACTTTAAGGGATGTATAGATGTGGCACCTAGAAGCCACTGGAGACTTGAATGGCTGGCTATAGGTATGACAGCCAGTAGGCTGTCTGCAGCCTGTGAATCAGCCTGTTTTATGCAGTCCATTGGTGGGAATATTGGATAAGCCATGACAGGAAACTTTGACCTCCTGGGGAGACATAAAGACTCCAATGTATGCTATACTGTCTCAAACCAGGAGTTTGTTTCTAACACCAAGGTAATAAAGGCAGGGTTTCCCCTAGGGGTAAAGGTAGGGTCCTGGTGTACTTGGTGCAGGTGCAGACTGGGTCTCATGTAACAGTTTCCTCTGACATTAAAACATTTCATCTTTCAGGAAGCTCCTTAAGCAGGAAAGTGAACAACTGGAAATAGCTTCAGGAAGGCCCTGAAACTGATCAGATTCACTAGGCCACAGTAAGCAGTAAAAGCCCTTTAGAGGGACGGAAGTTTAGCTGTAAAGACTCAGACCACACCAGCTGCCAGGAGGAAGCAGAAACCAGCCAAGCTGCTTGGAAGAGGTTTAGACCAACTGAGGCACCAGTAAAGGACACTTAGTGGCTATTCACTGAGCTCCAGGTTCCCAGCTGTGAGCTGTTCCATGCTGGGAGTGGGCTTTGGTGCTGAACTGTCTAATTCGAACTCTTAGAAGCAATTCCACCCATATTCCTATAAGTAACCACGATACAACTCATTGGTTCGCTAAGTTGGACTTTGGTAGTATCTGTAAAATTTGATCTGTTGTTGGGTCTGTATCTGGGGTGAATAGATGTGTGTGTTATATCTCCCAGGAAACGTAACAGGCTGCACCAAGTAAGGTGGTCATGTGGAGGTGACCAGGACCCGCTGGCACAGAAAATGGGCCTCCAGACTTCTAGGAAAGGGTGCTTGCAGCAGGATCCTCGAGTCAGCCTGGACCAGTAAACCAGTAGCCAGTTTGTGAGTAACATTTGCTTTTTTTCTGCCCCTGACATGTCTAAGCCCCTCCCCCACGCTTGCTGACCAGTGAAGAATAACTTGCTGATATTTTGTTGTTATCCTTCAAATGTTTTTTCAAAAGACAAGGGACCAGCAAGAGGCTTGGCAGATAGAAGTGTTTACCACCAAGTCTGAGGACCTGAGTTCAATCCTCAGAACCCACAAACGGAAAGAGAACCAACTCCTGAAAGCTGTCCCCAGACCTCTACAAGCATGTTCTAGCATGTGTACCCCAGCACACACATATTCAGATAAATGTAATAATAAAACTGCTTTTAAAAGAGATGAAACCAACCAGGCGGTGGTAGTGCATGCCTTATAATCCCAGCATTTGGAAGGCAGGGCAGGCTGATCTCTGTGTATTCAAGGCCAATCTGGTCTATAGAGTGAGTTCCAGGACAGCCAAGGCTACACAGAGAAACCCTGTCTTCAAAACTAAACAAAAAAGGAGAGAGGTGAGATGAAATTTTACTATAATTCTGCTTCATTCATTTTTACTCTTACATATCTATTAAACTAGTCATCCACAGTATGGATGGATCATAGAACAGTTTGACCAGTTCTGTAGATCTGGCCAAGTTTGTGCTCTGCTTTGTCATGGGCAACTTTCACAGTAGCTCACCTCTTCTGATGAAGAAGGGCCTTGGTTGGGCTAGGCCAGTGTTTCTCAAACCACCCTTTCACAGGAGTTGCCTAAGACAGAAAACACAGATATTTATAATACAATTCCTAACAGTAGCAAAGTTAGTTATGAAGTAATGAAAATGTTATGGTTGAGAGTCACAACATGAGGAACTATATTAAAAGTTAGCAGCATTTGGAAGGAAGAACCACTGAGTGGGGCTGGAGACATGGCTCAGTGGCTAAGAGTACTGACTTCCCGAGGACCCGGGTTCAATTCCCAGTACCCACATGGCAGCTCACAACTGTCTGTAATTCCAGGATCCACCACCCTCAAACAGACATGCATGCAGGCAAACCACCAATGCACACAAAATAAAAATAAATTTTAAAAAA